CTTGTAGAAGCTCTGAATAGCTGGTTGTTTATTGCTGTCAGGATGAATCTGTTTTGATATGGTTCTCTGGGAAAGAGGAGAAGCATCTTAGACTTGGCCATGTGTCTAGAATCATATCTGGCCAGCGCACTGTAAGTGACCCTTACAGAGATAAAATAATTTTTTTGGCCATCCTTCATGATATATATTATTTTTAAGTCAATATGTCTTTCTGCCACTTATTGATAAAACATGCTCTTCTTTTCCTCCAGCCTATCTTTCAAAGATATCCACGACCTGAGAAGGAGTATCAGTCATTTTCTCTTATATATAGTGACAGATCACTGGATCTGGTAAGTATTTATCCCTCTATTGCAATGGCCCTCTGTAGCTCTGCTATTTTGGTTGGTTTATGGGCATTTGCTTGTTCTTTGATTCTTGTGTTAGACTGGTTCTTGTTCCATGTACACACAGTTCAAAGATATTTTCATTTTGCATGTTGAAATCTTCAACTAGATCTGCAAGGATAAAGATGAAGCTGAGGTCTGGTTTAGTGGTTTAAAAGCATTAATTTCACGTAGCCATCAAAGAAGATGGAGAACAGAATCAAGAAGTGATGGAGTTCCTTCTGAAGTTAATAGTCCTAGAACATACACACGAAGAAGTTCGCCTTTGAATTCCCCGTTTAGCAGTAATGATAGCTTGCAAAAGGTATGGTTTCTACTTTGTTAACTGTCTTCCACTATAAGATTGCAATTAAGTTAAGATGTTTATCACCTTGATTTTAGGATGGTGTGGATCACCTTCGCCTTCATAGTCCATATGAAAGTCCTCCAAAGAATGGCCTGGATAATGTAATAGTATACGCTGTTCCTCCCAAGGGCTTCTTCCCCCCTGACTCTGCCAGTGGTTCAGTCCATTCTTTATCATCAGGAGGATCAGATAGCATACATGGTCACATGAAGGGGATGGCGATGGATGCTTTTAGAGTTAGTCTTTCAAGTGCAGTTAGTTCATCAAGCCAAGGTTCTGGCCATGATGATGGTGATGCCTTGGGAGATGTTTTCATTTGGGGTGAAGGCACAGGGGAGGCTGTGTCGGGTGGTGGAGCTCAGAGAGTTGGTGGTTATATTGGTGCCAAAATGGATTCTCTTTTTCCCAAAGCTCTAGAATCTGCTGTAGTACTTGATGTCCAGAATATTGCATGTGGTAGCCAACATGCTGCCTTAGTAACTAAGCAAGGAGAGGTATTTTCTTGGGGAGAGGAATCTGGGGGGAGGCTTGGGCATGGTGTAGACTCTGATGTTTTGCATCCAAAGCTTGTTGATGCCCTGAGTAACATGAACATTGAGCTTGTGGCATGTGGCGAGTACCATACTTGTGCCGTAACACTTTCAGGTGATTTATATACATGGGGCGATGGAACTTATGGCCTTCTTGGGCATGGAAATGAAGTAAGTCATTGGGTTCCAAAAAGAGTGAATGGACCCCTAGAAGGCATACACGTCTCATCTATCTCTTGTGGTCCCTGGCACACAGCTGTAGTAACCTCTGCTGGTCAGTTGTTTACATTTGGTGATGGCACATTTGGCGTTTTGGGCCATGGAGATCGAAGAAGTGTTTCAAAACCAAGGGAAGTGGAATCCTTGAAGGGGCTCCGCACTGTACGAGTAGCTTGTGGTGTGTGGCATACTGCTGCAGTTGTAGAAGTCATGGTTGGTAATTCAAGTTCCAGCAACTGTTCCTCAGGGAAGCTATTTAGTTGGGGAGATGGCGATAAAGGTAGACTTGGGCATGGAGACAAGGAAACAAAACTTGTTCCCACTATTGTTGCTACTCTTGTTGAACCCAACTTTTGTCAAGTTGCCTGTGGCCATAGTCTAACAGCTGCACTTACAACATCAGGCCTTCTCTACACCATGGGAAGTCCTGTTTATGGACAACTAGGAAATCCACAAGCTGATGGGAAGCTTCCTATTCGTGTTGAAGGAAAACTCTCTAAGAGTTTCATTGAGGAGATTTCTTGTGGTGCTTATCATGTTGCAGTTTTGACTTCAAGAACGGAAGTCTATACTTGGGGCAAGGGAGCAAATGGTCGATTAGGTCATGGAGACACAGATGACAAGCACTCACCAACACTGGTAGAAGCTCTGAGAGACAAGCAGGTCAAAAGTATTGTTTGTGGTACTAACTTCACAGCAGCCATTTGCCTTCACAAGTGGGTCTCAGGGGTTGATCAGTCCATGTGTTCTGGTTGTCGCCTGCCATTTAATTTCAAAAGAAAACGTCACAACTGTTATAATTGTGGACTGGTTTTTTGTCATTCATGCAGCAGCAAGAAGTCTCTTAAGGCTTCAATGGCTCCAAATCCCCATAAACCTTACCGTGTCTGTGATAATTGTTTTAATAAATTGAGAAAAGCCGTTGAAACTGATGCATCATCTCAGTCTTCTATGAGTAGAAGAGGAGGCATCTATCAGGGGACTGGTGATTTTGCTGATAAAGATGAGAAGTTGGATTCAAGATCTCGTATGCAACTTGCTAGATTCTCTTCCATGGAATCCTTCAAGCAAGTGGATAGCCGATCAAAGAGAAACAAGAAATTAGAATTCAATAGCAGTCGTGTTTCACCTGTTCCAAATGGAGGTTCTCAATGGGGAGCACTTGGTATTTCTAAATCTTTAAATCCAGTATTTGGGTCATCTAAGAAATTTTTCTCAGCTTCTGTTCCTGGATCAAGAATTGTTTCTCGTGCAACATCACCAATATCAAGACGTCCCAGTCCACCTCGTTCAACAACACCAACTCCAACACTTGGGGGCCTTACCTCACCAAAAATTTGTGTGGATGAAGCTAAAAAGACCAATGACAGCCTTAGCCAAGAGGTTATTAGATTGAGAGCACAGGTATATAGTCTACTGTTCTTCTCAGTGATCTTCTGTAAAATTATTCAGTCAGTTGTGTTATTATAATTACATACATATTACATATGTAGTGAAATTGGCATGGCTTAGGTGGTTGAAGCACGGTGCTTTCAACCTGTTTCTGGTTGAATTTTGAAATTAGGTTATGTCAATAAGCATTAATTAACAGATTGACCACATCAAGCCTTAGGCTGGAAATTAGAGTTGGTTGCTCGGTAAAAGCTCCTCTTTCCATAACCTGGCTTGAAATTGTATGTGTTTTGCCTTAACAATCTTTCTCTTAGGTGGAGAATCTTACTCGTAAAGCCCAGCTTCAAGAAGTTGAGCTGGAAAGGACAACTAAACAACTGAAGGAGGCAATAGCAATTGCAGGGGAAGAAACTGCAAAATGTAAAGCAGCAAAAGAAGTCATCAAGTCACTTACGGCACAGGTTAGATGGATGATGTTCAATTGTCTCACAGTTTCTGCCTCATGATGTCAATGAGTATGACTTTAAGGCATCTCCACAAATTCAAGTGCAAGGAATCATCTCATAATTTTCTTGAAGAGTCAAATATGATTAGATTTACTGCCTGTGATCATTTTGGAAAAAATAAGAAAATATTGTACTCAATACGTAAGGTTTCACTTTGGACAACGGTTGTCTGGATCTTTATGGCCATCCTTTAGATGAGTTGCTTAATGTATCATGTTTTCATCACATCTTTATACTGATGATTTATATTTCGTTTGTCAATAGTTGAAGGATATGGCTGAGAGATTGCCTGTGGGAGCTGGAAGAAGCATCAAATCACCTTCATATACTTCCTTTAGCTCCAGTCCTACTTCCATTGATGTCTCCACTGCTTCTATTGATTGCTTGAATAGTCAAACAGTGTGCCAAGAACTGGAGCCAAATTTATCAAATAGCCAGTTGCTCTCGAATGGGTCTAGCATGACCAGTAACCGTAGTTCAGGCCCCAACAAGCAGGGTAATAATGAATCAACCATAAGAAATGGAAGTAGAGCAAAAGAAGGGGAATCCCGTAATGAAAATGAATGGGTTGAGCAAGATGAACCTGGTGTGTACATTACACTTACTGCCCTACCAGGGGGTGGCAAAGATCTCAAGCGAGTTCGTTTCAGGTATATTGTCTTCATGTTATGTATTTGATTAACTTCTGCAGATGGATTTATAGTTCTAAATGATCATTGAAGAGGAAAGCTGAACAGTTTGATACTTTCAATGCAGTCGAAAGCGGTTTAGTGAAAAGCAAGCCGAACAATGGTGGGCAGAGAACCGGACAAGAGTATATGAACAGTACAACGTGCGTGTGATTGAGAAGTCAAGTGTTGGAGTTGGGAGTGAGGACTTAGCTCATTAACAAGTGGAAATAACCATATTTAAATGTGGTGGTCTCCTCAAGATTCAATCGACTGAGGCCAATCAATCAAATTATATTTTGCTTCCATCTTCTGTCAAGGGGTAGCGGAAGGGAAGCAGAAACGGTATAAAAGAGAGAATTAGAGATTTTTTATTGAGTGTTTCTTTTATGCCTTTTTTTTTTTTTTCCACTTGATTTTACTTCACATTTTTCCCGTATAGTGTACCTGGTGTGGGGGTTGAAGGTGAGAAAATGTAAATTCTTGTTAGGTTGATGGCTCATATGGAAAGCAGCTCCCGTGTAAATTCAGCAAATGCTACTGGAAATTTTTTTCCTTTCTCACTGCCTTGTATAATTACGGTTCAGAGTGAATGAAGGGCAAAGGTTATGGATTCTGTTTCTTTCTTCTCCTTTTAATTATTTTATTTTATTTTATTTTATTTTTATGCATGAAAGTTTTCGTGCGTTATTTATTTATTTATTTATTTTAATGAAAGAAAGTTATCATGCTTAACTATTGCAGAAAGTCAGCAGTAAAGCTTTTAAACCCTGACTTTGTTGGTATCTTTGGGTTCAGATTTGGTTAATATTATGACAGATTTCTGAAGAATCTTTTTTCTTTTTTTAAACATTTTAATCATAAAACCGATTCGAACCGTTGCCCTTGAAGAGAAGGATATGAACTTTACAAGAGTGATTAAAGCCACTTGATCCATAAGTCAAGTTTGAATCCTTTTTAGATCATGGCAAAGTAAAAATTATAGACCAATCATTAAGAAGATTTGGAGAGAACGTTAAAGTTGATGAAATGAGGACCAAATAAGATTTACTTTAACATATACTGCCAGTCTGGGCTAGAAAGACCAATCTACCCTTAATAAATCAACACTTGCGTGCCCAATTCATTAAGATTTACTTTTAGCCTTTCCCTGCCTAATGCAACACTAAACAGATATTTCCAAATACCACTGAAAGTCTGAAACCCTCTTGCAAAGGTGGTGTTTAAAGAAACTAATGATAACAAAAGAAATTTTGTTTTGTATTTAACTAATAACCATGATAAATTCCATTCACAGGGCCAGTAGGCTTGTGCTTCCATAAAAAAAACTAGTCTAATTAACACAATTATTGGAGGTTGGCCAAAAAAAGAACACAATTGTTGCAACCTAGTATGATTTTCCACAATGTATCAGGCTCCCAGCACCCAAGAAAAGACCAAAAACTGCAGCACTCCCAATTGTAACTTGTCCAATATGCCTGATCTTTAGAAGTCCTGGTATCTGCGAGCCCCAAAATCCAGCACTTACTAATTATAAGTCAACATTAATACCACTGAAGACGAAAATGAATAAATGCTTCAATGTGATTATTCAGGTCTAAAAACACATGTATGAGGTAATCAGACTCATCATTTGATATGTCAGAAAATAAAAACAGATGTTAGGACTCAAAGTAGCTGTGCAAATTAGAGCAATAAAGTAAAATGACGATTGATGAGATTTCCAATTATATCTCAAGGGGTAGACTTAAATATTTCAAGTCCTGACTCCTGACATTTTCTTCAGCTTTCTCCAACTGATGAGAACTGAAACTTTCTAAGCATATCACAGTATAGTTGTGATCCAGTCAGTGGAACAATCACTTTGCATGTTACCTAACTGCTTTCCTAACACAATCAATATACCAAATGTGGTGATCTTAGTGCAACCATCATCACATCAAATTATCAGCACATGAAACTATTCATGGTAAGTTAAAAACCTTTACAGAGAATGGGCATACCAATATTAGGGGAGAAAGAAATAACAAATACATTATTATTTAGTAAATAGTGAAGAGCATCAGTAATAAGCAGTGCTATCATGATCTAATGAGTTTAAGTATAAGCAGTAATGTACCTTATATCTAACTGCTTCATAGGTCCCATACACAGCACCTGCATACAAATTCGTAATCAGACAATTATTTCATACCAAAAAACCAACGTGGCTATGACTTCAAATAATGACTAAATGGACACATCTTGCATGATGCATGGAATGAAACTACCATTACATTCTAATATGATAAATAGATGATTTTCAGATGTTCCATGCGGAGTATAAGCATGCCTTAACGCATTCTTAATCCAACTTTCATTAATCCATGCCCAAGTTTATTCTCATACTCATAAGATATGAAGCTGCTAATATAGCTTTCTTTTTTCTTTTTTTCTTTTTTTCTTTTTTTCTGAGTTTCTGTAGTAGGTCTTATACCCACATTATTTGGGTTTTAGCAGTCAGTATTTTGGTTTTCAATTAAAAGGGTTTAACATATGGGACCCTAGCAGCCTCATAGAGAGATTGCAGCCTACAAGTTAACAAATCTAAGTATTATTAACAACTTATGCAGCTTCTGGAGGTTCCTCAAATAATGTCCCCAAAGACTGATCAGTTCCATCTACAGAGCAAAGCAAGCGTTTTCAACACCATTTTTGTTGAGTTACAAAAGAAAATTGACAAAGTTTTCTGATTCAGCAGATAAAGCAAAGCCCAGCAGAGATGCATTATTCACCTACACCAATGTTTTACAAGACAAAAAAAATTCTCAGCAATTTTTTTCAGATTTGTCCTCTTGGAAATTTAATAAAAAATTTGAGCATGCTTTTACAATTCCTAAACAGCACCATTACTATTTCTACAAATAAGATGCTAAGAAACACTCGGATAAACATCACAGGAATTCCATATTCTCCACAGAAACATATATGATCGAGGATGAAATATGAAAGGAGAAAAAAAAAAAAAAAAGCAGGGTTTTGGGAAAGTACCGACGGCACCACCAACAGCGCCGCCTACGGCAACTCCGGCACCTACACGAGCCAGACAGCTATCCCTCGCCATACTCTGTGTCTAGTAATCCGTAAGCAGCGAATGGAAGCAGAAGCCCTCACCCACCGATTGAGTTTTGGATTTGTTGAGTGATGTCCTGTGAGAAGCTATGATGTCTAGTCCGCGGTTGCGGTGCGAATAAACCCCAAACCTAACGGAGGTTTCCACAAGAGTCTTTTGCAATTTTTTTGGAACGTTGGGGCTCATGTCCCCCTTCCTAAACCTACAAGGGGGTCTTTGTCATTTTCCCTTTTTATCTAACCTCCGTACATCATAATATTTAACTACGTGTTTGGTACGAAGGTTAAAATTCAATGAATAGCAGATAGCGGATAATGGATAATGATAGCGGATAGGAGGTGGCAGTTAGCGGATAGAAGGTGACAGTTAGCGGATAGGGGAAATTAAGTAGCAGATGGTAAATAACGGATTCGATAAATATAACTGTTTTACTATACAATAATTAGCAGTTGTTGTTTAACATTAAATGACTAATAAGGACATGTTTAAAAATAAATAAGTGTATTTTTT